ATTGTGGTGGTTCATAAGAAACAACAAGACCTTTTGTTAAAAGTGCTAAAATTGGCAAGTTATTTTTCCAAATCACACCTCAACCACCATATTAAGGCATAAAAAGAAGCACTGCTCTTACTACAGTAATCCAAACAAACAGTAATATTCAAATGGAGTCCTACATTTTATAGAAGATATTTGCAATGTATCTGTTTCCCTGGCAAAGGGTTTAGTGACCAGTTAATTTCCAGTCACATGCCAGTGCTGGGTGATGCTAAGAAAACTCTATTGACCAAACTGACTCCAGACAGTAGGAATGTCAACATTTACAACAGTAATTATAAGTTTGCAATTCCAAACTTCTCTGTGCATTGAAACTCACTGGAGACCTTGGGTAGAAAGGGTGACAAGAAATTGAGTTTTGTGGATAAAGTTGTGGCCACCAGCAGCACTGTAACAATGCAGCAGCATTTTACAAGTGCTATAAAAGGCAGCTGACACAACTTAAAATCTCAGAGAAGCAGGCTCTAGGGATAGATCCTATCCAGCTGTGAAACAAGTGTCATAAGAACACTCACCAAAACTAAAAAATAAAATCCAAAATAATAGCAGAGGCACCAAATGTAGCAATCTTGATTATCCCATAGTACAGATGTTTTTTTCAACACCACAAAATCATGGCTGTGTTCTGCATTCCTCTTTCCCTTGCCCTCTGACATAACTTTAGGCTCCTGCCTCCTCATTTACGTGTCAAGAGCCCCTTTAGATTGCCAGGATGATTGTTACTAAATTCCCACTCCCAAGCTTCTGCTGAAAGCTGTCATCTCTTCCTTCTCTCCTCCTCCTCCTCTAACCTAAACAACAGATGAAGTTGTAAAAGTGCTACTTAGATTAGATTTCATAGTAATCAAGTGGTACAGGACTAATCTACCAGGCTGTAATAATCATTCAACACTGCTGGAATACATTTCCATAGTAATTAGATGGGATAAATCTCCACAGCTACAAATTCCAGCCCATTGACTCAAACACTAGAAATGACTGAAAAAGGGGGTTCTTCCCTCATTTGGACATTTTACTATATTTATGTTTTTTTTGAGATGCAGAGGATTGAGTTAAAAGTAGAAAATAGTCCTAAAGAAGGCAGAGTGCTGCAGAACCATGAAAACAGCTAAATTTAAAGTGTCTGCTCTGCACATTGGGACTGCAAACCCATCTGTAATGAGAGACATCAGACACATGCAAAGGATCAGGTGACTAAAACACAGTGAGAAGTTATTTAGTGATCAAAATTATTAAGTAATAAAACAAATGAAAAGTCATTAAGAAAAAAGTATGGTGGATCAAAGAAAAAATATGTCACAAGAGCAGTGCAATATAAGATAACCAACAAATTGTGATGGAAAGCTCACAGCGACATCCACATTGCATCCTGAGAGAACTAAAGAATTAGAAGAGACCACAGAATGCAGGGTGACACTAAATAAAAGTGCAGCTTGATGCTCACAGGGTAATTTACCTCTCACAAGGAATGGTGAGCACTCTCAAGTTTAACAAAAGTCTCCTGATGTGTTCTCAACTTTAAACCCCAACCCCACAGCCTTTCAGGGAAACAAGACAATCCCTCTATCAAGGATGTGACATATGCTGTACACCTGGTGATAAATATCCACTTCAAATCTATTAAAACCTACTATTTTATTTTTCAGAGGTACTGTGTTCCTTGTATTCCTTCAGTCTACCTCAACATTGGCAAAAATTGTGGTACAATGGGAGCAGATTTGTAAAACAAAATGGGGTTTGTGTGAAATAAGTCTGTTTATTTTTCCAAACTGTTTAAATCTAGATAAGTTGCTTCAGATGCTGCTAATACGGGCTACTAATACTTGGGAATTTATAACAAGTAGCAGATTTTTTTCTCTCCTGACAGATGAACCACCCCAAAGGAAGCAACTCCAGGACACAAGAATGGCTCTTCAAGAGTTATCAGGCATTTTTATGAACTCCTTCTCAAAATTAAGAGAGATTTTCAGCTTCATTTCTACAATATGATTTTATGAATTTGCTCTTTTACTGACATTAATCACAAAGCTCTAACCAGAATAAGAGGTGTCACTACAGCTGTCCTTTAGATGTATGAGCTTTTCTCTTTACTGTGGACCTTGACATCATTCCTCACATTACCTTTAGCAAGAAAATGTTTGACAGAACCCAGAACATTCTCCTAGTGCTTTGTAGCCTAGACTCAAAATCAGTAATCTAAAAGGCCCTCTGCTGGCAGCTGCTTTCCCAGGTGCTGAGATCTGTCATTGCTGCCAGGCCAGGCAGCCTGTGCACATCCATCTATTCTGCCCCAAAAGCCCTTTCCTATAAAAAGTCTCCTTTCCCCCACTGGATAGTGGGATTTTACAAGTTTTGCCCCATAAATAACAATCCAAACCTACAAACCCCTCTGATCTGAGACACCTCAACCAGCTGCAAGGAAAGGAAAAATTACTTACAGCAGACAAGCCAAAACGAGCAGGACTAGAGAAACCTTCCTTCATGCACAGTGGGCACGCTACCTCGGCTGCTTTCTAACTTCTTCAGTCTGCTCAGTGAATACTTACTATCCAAATGGGTTTGAGTTTTTGTGAGGAGAGGCTTCACTCATGGGCAGTTCTTAAAAGAGGCAATGCAAAAAAAGTGGGATAAGCAGTTGAGTGGAAATATTTTTAAGGTGAATTTTTCGTGGCCCAGCTGGCTTTTGCAATGAAAAAAAAAGAGGTTAAAAATGCAAGCCCTGAAAATCTGCTTCAATCATACTCATTGAAATGAAGCAAAGAACTCCTCAGTACAGGAAATGTCAACTGTTTAAGGTCTTGAGAAGCCACTTGGACTAAAGACTGCTTTAGATCAGGTCAAGAGTGTAAAAAAGATTCAAGCCTAATACTTTGCCTTTAGTATTTTTATCTACATGACGGCACAATCCAGGATGTTAAAATTACAAATGTAACAGCAAGGTGTTGGACACAGAAAAAGAAAAAAATTATTTTACTAAAAACTACAAAATCATGAAGCTGGGGCAATCAAGAATCTAAAACCCAGTCCATTGCTATCTGTATATTTTGAAAAAACAAAAACCTGCCTGCATTCCACTGTCAAAACAATGATAAGCTTTAGCTGTGGGTATTTAGGAGCTGAACAAGATCAAAACTCAGGGTTCATTTTTAGAAAATAGAAGGGAGAGACTCATATTTGCAAAGTACACTATGAAACATATCAGGGCCTTCAACTCCACCAGGGCTCACCCTGCAGATATAATATTCATACATCCACATTGGGAGGCATGAAATTGGTTTATTTCACAGCACCCAAATGCATAACCAGCTCCAGACTTGTCTTCACAGGGAATATGAGGCAATGAAACTACTGTGCATACACCAGAATGTCTTGGAAATGAAAAAAATCCAGAAAACACAATGTACATCAGAGCCTATCTGTGGCAATGGAGTACAAACACGAAGTTTATGCAGTTCCAGAGAGACAACAACATAAAATAGAACTATACACCCCAAGTGTGGTTTTTTTCCCTCTATAATGCTATAAATTCATATTAGTGAAAGGGACAGAAGCCGATAAAATCCGTACATATACACAGGCTTGCTTTTGTTGTGGCAAGGAATAGCACTCAAGGAAATTTAAACTAATAATTACCATTACATGATAAAAGTGCTTGTGAATACAAAACTTTTTTTCACAACACACAAGACAGTGGAACAGCTGGAGGTGCCCAGGATGGGACCTGTCCCTGGACACTCTCAGAAGGCTGGGCTGCTCTCTACTGCAACAGCAGGGATGTTTCCCAAAGGTCACTGGCACATTGGTCATTTTGGATCATAAAACCCCAGGAGCCTGGCACACAAAACATCCAAAAGAGAGCACTGCATGCACCTGCAAGGTTTTAAACCACTTCTTAATCTCTTTTCCCATATTCCCTTCCTGCACTCCATACATTTCCTCCTTGGACCATACACACCAGGATTCTCACTATCTATAAACCATCTGTCCCATTCTTGGCTTAGTTTAACATAATTACAGCACTGATGGTCACTACAAAGCAAGCTCTCCTTTTATCTGCAATGTGAGACCAAAGCACAAGACAAACAAAAAGCACCTGCTCAAAGTAAACTGTATCTAAAAGCTTCCAGTTAAGTAAATATATCCTTCAAATTTGGAATATTGTTTCAGGAAGAAACAAAACAAATCTCTTCTTCGTTATTGCCTGAGCAGAATTAAGATGTTTTAGTAATAAAATATTGTGCAGGTTCTAGCAGTACCTTTCTGTGGTTAAATGACTTGTCACTCACATTCCTTCTCACACATATTCCTTCCCAGGTACAACAACTGCTTATATTTTGCTATTTAATTCAAAAACCACGCAAAACTCCTGTGAATTAATCCTTCTCTTTTCTTTATGCATAAGAGACCTGGTGGCTGTCCTTGGGCTGTCTTTCCTGTGCTGAGAGCTGGTTACAGCCTGAGTGAACATATGGCAACAGACAATCTATGACCCTGTTTGTTATGGCATATATTATATTTTTCAAAATATTTAACAGAAAAACCATAAAGAAATTCATTACATTATATTACACTCAAAGGTTGGCAGTAAAAAAAAAAAACTATAATACATGTCTCAGACAAGAAACCGTGGTTCTGGGGTACTTTATCTGAATCATTGAAAATTACCACAGTTATTTTGGAAATTCAGGAACTCTGGCACTACAGGCATGCAGGAAGGGAACAGCTAAGTAAGACAGACGAAAGCTGGCAAGTGAACTCATTCAATGCTTGCACACGTGCTGAAAGTTTAATTTCTTGTGTTTTGGTTAGAGACCTGCAAGGAGTAAACCTCAGTGTTGGCCAGCAAAGTCGATATCAGAGATAAAGGGTCTGTCAGCCAAAATATCCAAAACTACGCCTCAACATCAAGGTCAGAAAACCTTTGTTATTCCCAAGCAAAAAAATGTGTCTGCTTCATGTCTCTTCTGACTTGTGATGAGGCTTGTCCCAGCAGGCTCTCCAGGCAGCCACTCGTTATAAAGCCGCGTCCAGAGCGGCTTTGCTCATTTGTAGGAAGGACAAAGGGGGTGAGAGGTACCAAGCAAAGCCGAACACCTCTGAGCTTTGACAGCCTCTGCATCTCTCCCCCCTTCTCTCTCTCTTTCTGAAGCAAAGCAGAACCTCTTTGAAAAGATGGTCCTGGAAACCCTGAACCCAATGCACTACAACATCACCAGCCTGGTACCGGACACCATGCCCGTGGCCACCGTGCCCATCCTCATCCTCATGTGCTTTCTCTTTCTGATATGGAACCATGAAGAGACCTCATCAATACCAGGTACATTAACTTTAGCTACTGTGCCACATTCAGGTTTTCAGAGTAATTTTTTTTGTATCTCAAATTTAAGTGACAAAGTAATGCTGAATAATCGTGGTATGACAACAAAATTTATTATGAATCAGTTTAAGTAATACAGATTCTTAAAAATTCCTGATAAAGGAAATCAGGCTTATTCTAACTTCAGAACTTCCTTAATAATCGTGGCTTGGCCATATGACATTCCTTCTTCAGCTTTATTCTGTGTATGCTAGAAAGCTATAATACTATTTTACAACTCAGGATATTCTCATTTTCATGTGCATTATAAACTGCTTTTTGCATGTTTTAAAGTTTAAGTCTCTCTAAATTGCCTTTACTCTAAACAGCTATCTAAGAAGCTGTTCAAATTTTAGTAGGCTATCAATCTTTCTCTATCTTTAGCACTGAAAACTCTCCAGGATCAGAACAACATTGAATTCCCATTCCCTTCTGGAACATTTTGGGGGCTTGTTCAGACATTAATGGCTCAGCTTGTTTTTCCACCAGATGCAACACCCTGCTGCATGGAGGAGAGCAGTGCACGGCCTCTCACAGGAGCTGGACAGGAATAACTCTAAAGCAGTACAATGACTCCTGGAAGAAATCCTGGGAAAAGACCCTTGCTCAAAAGAGCATTTCTTCTTTCCAGGATGTCATTGTCCCTCCAGAAGCAAGCAGCAGCTGGAAGCTGTACAAAGCAGCAATGAATGTTATTTGCTGTAGGTACCACTGAAAGCACGACCGGCTTCCTCAGACAGTGAGACTCCACCAGCACTGCTGCAGCTCCTGAGAGAGTTCCAGAGCAGGACTGTTTGTGGGAACTGCCCTGCACAGCCTGTGACTGCCGTGTTAAACACCTCCTCTCTAAAGGGAGATGCTCAGAGGTGTTTTCTTGTCCGTGAGCACTGCTGAGACCAAACCTCTCTCCCCCTGTTTCCTAGGGCCAGGATACTGCATGGGAATTGGTCCCCTCATTTCACACGGCAGATTTCTCTGGATGGGAGTGGGGAATGCCTGCAACTACTACAATAAGACATACGGAGAATTTGTCAGAGTTTGGATCAGCGGTGAAGAAACATTCATAATTAGCAAGTAAATCCTTGTTTTCTATACTTAATAACTTGAAAAGCTTTATATCTTTACAACCTTTTTGCTACTTTATTCTAAAGCAGAACTGAAGTTATTCTTTTCAAAAATTGTCCTAACAAAAGCCTATTACTTTCTGCTATTCACAGACCATTCTTTTTAATCTTGTGTCTGTTTAAAGACTCTGCTACTGAAGTTTTGGTGAATTCTCTTAATATTTTTTGTGGATAGGAAAATACTGTGGCTCAATCCTAGAAATAATTTACCATCTATTTTGCTATCCATTTATTATTAAGATAACATTCAGTTTAGGGATCAAGGCTTACTGCAATGTGGGATTAAGTAAAATTTTCTGTGTTTTTAAATTTCTCCTTAAAGTGTAAGTAAATGCTTGAATGTTATGGCTCCAATTCAGCGATTTATCTAAGCAAATACAGCATTATTGTATTAGGAGTAATTCCACTCCAATTAATGGGATTATTCTTAGGTTTCAATTATGCACAGTATTAAACATAATGCAAACTTCAGCCTATCATTTTATTAGCTCCAGTGGATGACTGCTTTCTTCTTAAATTGGATTATTACAAGTCATGCCATGAAAAAGAAAAAAAAAAAGTAGTAAAAGGTTTACACATGTAATTGATAAAGAATCAGAACCCTTTAAGTAACAATGTCAATCAATTAATATTTTCATTAAGTAAAAGCTTTTGAAAGACAGTGCAGCATGGAGAATAATCACAGAATTTGCCACGTGGTGCAAGTTAGCTTCACCTCTATTTAAACCTTTGTAGAGAGAAGTAATCATGACAAGAAAATTGTTTGCACTCCTATCCTACAAAGGTGTTACAAATACCAACTAAAGTAGTAAAGTGGTCTGATAATGCTCTGAAAGCTTTGAAAATACTACCAACTCTTATTGCTGTCTTTCCCTCTCCGTGTTACCAATTCATCAGAAACAAACCAGGAGTGCTGCTGAACAATGTCAGATTTACAGTCAATACACTGTTTCTTTTCAGACATTTTTTGCTTTAAATCATTGGCTATTCTTAGAAAACAAGTATTTAACTTTTTTTAAAGCAAGAACATAAAATAAAATTTTCAGTGGATCCTAAATTCACTGCAAAACTAAACATAACCTGGCTTCTGCAAAAGAAAATCAATGTCATCTTTTTTCACCAATGTCATCGGAACTTTTAGCATCAAATCTAATACTGAGGTGCTAATGCACAGAGAGAAGGACTTGCAGTCTTGGTTGCAACAGCTGATGTCTTTTGGAGGACTTCATTAAATAGTTTTGTAAGGAAAACGTGCTTGTGCAGGGTTACTTGACAAAACCATTCTTGAAACATTATGATGTGTCTCCTGCATAGAGACACGTGGGATGGGAGGAAGAAAAATGAGCCTGCTGCACCTTCTCCTTAGTGGGCACAGCTGTCAGAAATCAACACCATCTTTTCATGTTCAGGGAAATACAGATGGTATACCCTGACATGGGAAAAAACTTTAATATTAACTTTACATCCAGGTCATGCAAAACTATGAAACGAAGGATGTTTGCAGTCAATAGCAAAAGCCACATTTACATTACCTGACTGAAAAAATGAACTAAACCCATGTTAGTAGTCTGGGGTTTGGCCCATAGACTATACTACACAGTAAAGACGGAAGTATATTGTTTCATTTCAAATCTTTGTTCTGATTTTCTTTCTTTTGGTTGGATTCTCTTTGATCACTGTTTCATCACATCCACATTTCTGAAATGCTGGCTCCCCCTAAAGGAAATTATATCTTAAAGCAAGAATGCTGTCTGCCAGCACCACCAAATTAACCTTGCTGACTGTAAATATAATTATACATATCATGGATTTCCCTTACATGTCTCTTTAAGAATATTTATTATTTATCCCACATGTACCACCGTATTATGATGATGCATATTTAAGTGATGCATGTATTTTTATACTTTCAGTATGTGTCTGAGAGTGACCAAAGAGCTACAAAAGAATACATAGCATTGACTATACAAAAGTAAAGCTGTCATTTAGTACACATCAAATATTTTACCTTATCCTCTGAAACATCTGACACTGGGCACTGCCTAAGTGTGTCATAGATATCTACACATTTCTGTGTATACATATTATCCAGCTTAAAATCCTTCATTAACCATTCACATTTTTATTGAAAAATAGTTTAAACCTGAACAGAACATCTTATTGCTTTAATATAAATTCTGAAAGCATTGATCAGATTTTTAATTATGTAAAAGACTTCTAATTACGAAAAAGGAACAACATTTCGTGCTAAGCATTGTACTTGCTGCTAAATTAAGAATGCGAGTCAGCACTTGGGAGCAACTGTAAAATGTCAGAATACAAATGCTGTATTTAGTCTATGAAACAGTTCTTTCATTTGGGCCTTTTTCCTCCTTCCTTCCCCAGATCCTCAAGCGTGTTCCACGTAATGAAGCACTGGCACTATGTGTCTCGGTTTGGGAGCAAGCTGGGATTACAGTGCATTGGCATGTACGAGAATGGGATCATATTTAACAACAACCCAGCACACTGGAAAGAAATTCGACCCTTTTTCACCAAAGGTAACCCAGGGTGCCCTGACACCCTGCCTCACTGTGGCTCACACAGCCAACCCCCCCTGAAATGCCATTTTGTCTGAAACCAATCCCTGTATTTTCCTTTCAAAGAATGATAAACCAGTGAAGCTCCAGAATGGTTTTACACCAGCCACTGACACAGTAATACCTCTCATTTTATCAACACTCCTGTCAGCGCTCGAGGCATTATAAAGAAGGTACAAGAACTAACAAACCTTTTGTCATTTTGCACGAACGCCCCAGCTCTGTCTGGCCCCGGGCTGGTGCGGATGATCGCCATCTGCGTGGAGTCCACCACCGAGCACCTGGACAGGCTGCAGGAGGTCACCACTGAGCTGGGCAACATCAACGTGCTCAACCTCATGAGGAGGATCATGCTCGACACATCCAACAAGCTCTTCCTCGGGGTCCCCCTGGATGGTACTGACAGCGCCACTTTTGGGCCTTGGGATGGCTCTGAAATGCATAATCCAAGGAAAATTCATTGGCACCACTCAGCAGTTTTGTCACAAAATAACAGAGCAAGAACAGATCCTTGTATCAGCATATAATTAATTGAAATTGATTTAGTATCATGTTAGTTACAAAAGAATTTTATATGACCAAAAGTATGCATTAGCTTATCACCCACCTTAAAACTATTACCCACCATTTAAAACTATTTTCATGCACCAATTTGGTACAATTCCAATATTAAATTCTATTCATGCAAGAATCTGAAATCTTTCCGCCAAATTAAATTATTGCTCTGAAAAAATTCACCTAAAATATTATGTTTTCTATTTCTTCAGCCTATAACAGAAATAATATTATCAGGATGTCTAAATTGCCCATTTCAATGTTCTGCAATAGTTCTGCTTCTGATCTCCTGTGGGAGACTGCTCTGGCTGACACGCCTCAGCATCTTTGTAGCAAGTTACCAAGAGTTTCTGCAAAGATACAGACCTTTGTACAGTGTGCATTTTTTACAATGTTACCTACCAGTTGCTTATCAAATTCCCAGGAACTTAGTGGAGTAGGGAGCACAACCTTATTATTAATTATTCTGAAGGATTTCTCTTACTTGACTAATGACCTCTTTTTCAACATTTCTTTTCAGAAAATGCCATTGTGCTTAAGATTCAAAACTACTTTGATGCCTGGCAAGCACTTTTATTAAAGCCTGACATATTTTTTAAGATTTCTTGGCTGTGCAAGAAGTACAAAGATGCAGTGTGAGTATCAATCGTTCTACAGAGCATTTGCTTAGGATTCTTTCTGTCTTTTCATGAAGGAGCATTTCCCTTGATGTTTTCCTCTGCCTTTTAGAAACTAAATTGTGACACTTGCAGAGGTGACTGCTGAGGTCCCCTGTCTGCAGAGCCAAGACAGAACGAGGTTTGTCACTGGTGGTACAAGTAGCTGAATTCTGGGACCAGTTTAAGGCTTTGTCTATCCAGTCCCAATTTGTTCACCAAAATATCAGTTCATGCACACTAAAAATGTGAAACTAAACTTTGTCTGCAACTGGACAGCAAATACCACTTCATCCATACTGTGGCTTTTCCTTGTCTGAACGAATCAGAGCAGCTTACAGCTCACCCAAACAGGGAAACCCATCTGTCCTCTTGAGGACATCCACAGTCCCCTTGAGCAGTCCCTGGTCATTGGATCTCTCAACATGCATTCTTGAGTCAACCACTCATTTATGAGTTAAAACCCGGGGCTTAGTGTGATAATCTGTTTCAAGGTTGAAGGGTTTTTTTCCAAAATAAGGAACAAATACATTTTGCCATTTTCCTCTTTGCAAAAGCACAAAATGCCTCTTCCAGTTTTGTGATCTTGTTTTCTGTCTTGTGCCAAAAGAGAGCTGGCTTTAAAAAGAACTGGCAGTTCACTTTTTGCATTTTGGATTTATTTTCCATCTAATGAGTGAAATTGCTCCTCTTAGGAAGGATATGTAATAAATTGCTTTGGTAGTGCTACATAACATCAGGGCTTTAAGGAAATTATCAGGTTCACCCAAATTGACAGCTCTTGAGCACTAGACACAAGATTCACCTTCTCTAATATTTGTTTGCTAGTTTTATTATGGCACTGATTACTGCTTTATCCTGTGATGCTGACAATAAACTATTATGGGCCAGTTATTACCAGAAAGCCCCTGCAACCAAATGCTGATATTTCAAATGCAGTCCCATAAGAAAAAGGACTTGTTAATAAATTTTTATGGCAAAAAAAAAGAAAAAAAACTCTGGACTTAAGGCAATACAAAGAACCACCACAGGATATGAAGACTTCTAATATTTCTCTGATAAACTTTGCAAGAAAGACCTCTTGCTATTTCTAATACATAAAATATCTATAAATATTGAGATCTTTATTGGGTTTGAAGTTCTAAATACATTTACCCTGGAAACACAAATTCTCTATCTCAACAGTAACATACCCACATTTGAAAAGCCTCAAGATTTCATTCAAAACCTTTTCAAAATACTTTTTTTATAAGAATTGCCCTAGAATCTATAATTAATTGAAAATTCCCCCAAAATTTATAACAACTTTTGAACTTTACTTTTTCCACCACTGAAATACAGACTGTTGACACAGTATTACTATTCAAATATGAAATGTTTGAATTAACTCTACTCCAAGATCCAAATTTTCTAACATTTGTCTACATTTTTCTAAAAATCATCCCTTATGTTCTCTAAATTCATTTTATATACTGATAAAATACAGTATAAAATGCAAGGAAACAAATTCTTCAGAAAAGATAATACATCTTTAAAATAGATCTTTATTCTTTAATAATGTATATAGACACCTTTCTCTCCTTTTCAATCTGTTCTGTAAAAAGAGATTAAGATTTCATTCCAGACTGACAAGCAATTACTTCAGAATAATAAGAAAATACACCTTGCCTAAGTATTACTACTTTTGCAGAGAACCCTATAATATTCTTAGGAATACTTAATTTCTGCCATCCTTAGATGCTTTTTTTTGTTATATCTCTGTATTTCTAATCATACCCTGGTGCAGATATTTATCAATGTGTTGGATTTCATCTGTTTTCAGCAAGGATCTTAAAGGAGCAATGGAAATCTTAATAGAACAGAAACGACAAAAGCTTTCCACTGTGGAAAAGTTGGATGAACACATGGATTTTGCATCCCAGTTGATTTTTGCACAGGTATTGGGAATTTACTCAAAATATGGCTAGTTTTGGTTTTTCTGACATTCTCCTGAACACAGGCTTTGAATCTAATCTTTATATGCCTCTCTAAAAGTCACATCATCATAAAGGGATGCTGAGTTGGTGCTGTGGAGTCCCTGAGAGAGACTCAAACAGGAATACATGTATTTCAGGATCAGGCTCTTCTCATATTTATTTCAAGGCTTAAACACATGCCTAAAACTCTTGCATCTATCCCTGAGTGTCCTTCAGTCTTTCCCTAACCCCTGTGTGTTATTTCATGTATTGCCTTCTGTTTGCAAAGGTTTCAAATGCTATATAACTCCTATCTTGTATAATATCTGACAGCTCACAAACTCAGTGAGGAAATGCAATAAACTAAAAAGAACCTGAGCTAAGAAGTCACATTTCTGCTTTTCTGCAAGGCACCACACACCCATCAGAACATGAGATTTCTGTCATTCTCTGAAAGACAAAAAAGAAATGCTATTTAGCATAAGATGGACTGTCCAGAAATTGTGCAGTCTATAGGATCTTTGTTGGCATCAGAGGCCAGCAATCAATATTTTTTCCAATTTTTTTTTTTTTTTTCCAGAACAGAGGGGATCTGACTGCTGAGAATGTGAACCAGTGTGTGCTGGAGATGATGATTGCTGCTCCTGACACTCTGTCTGTGACTCTCTTCTTTATGCTAATCCTGATTGCAGAGCACCCCACAGTGGAAGAGGAGATGATGAGAGAAATTGAAGCTGTTGTGGGTAAGCAGGAGCTGCAAAGTCACTGATATGGGAATATAATTTTGCTTCAGCAGTGATCTAATTTATCTAAACCTGCAACTTTTAAGCATTTTCTCCTAACAGTAGTGTTTGCTGTAAATCATATGCAATCCTATTGTATGTAAAAGATTATATTAAAGAGCAAATGAAAAAATGTGAGAAATTTGTAAAGTAAAATAAAATAGGAATCACCAGAATTTATAATCTATTAGAAATAATGTGGTATATTCTCACCTCAGCAACCACAGAGTAAAATCAGCATTCACCTCAAGTTCACTGAAATTATTTTCCTGTTACCCTGAAATAGCAAAAGGGGGCACTTGTTTCAAATAATCCTAATCACCAGTATTTCTCTGTGCTAAAATACAAAACTTAGAGAAGTTTCATTATGACTCTAGAAGGAAAAGACTAGACAAAATTAAAATTATATTCTGCTGTCATCCATTCTGATCTCAAATTGGCCTCCTCTAAGTACTAATTACTAACTATTCAAAACACAATCAAGATATTCCAAATCTGTATTCTTCCCCTTCTCTAGCCTTCATTCAAAGCCTGACACTGAACCAATATAGAAACTAATTTCATCCACTCTTATTTAAGTCTTACTTCTGGTCTGTTAAACACCAGAAAATGTATCACAAGTCTTTTTTTCTAAGGTACTTTTAATAATCCTTATTGTACTGTCCTCATGAGAATACTCACTCACTCACTTTCCCTGCTTCTTTCTGAAGCCTTACCCTCTAAGGTAAGAATGTTGTCTTTTCCTTAAGGAGTGCCCACCACAAAGGTGCCTTTTGTCTGCAAGCCTGCCCCAGCTGCAGGCAGCCTGCTGCACATCCCAGCACCGGCCCCGCTGCTGGAACCTGCTCATCCTACCTGGAATTGTCAGGGATGGGATGGACACCCATTTAAGGGGGAAAATTTAAGGTCCCTACAGAATTAGCTCCAGACTATCCCCAGGTTCTGTTTGCTGTCAGCTCCTGGAAGGTTTATTTGTTGTGCCTTGTTGTCTCTTGTGCAAAAGCCAAAGACCCCCAGAGTTTTGTTGCTGACTAGAACAAAGACTAGGAGTGAAAAGAAAAAGATGAGAAGATTGTTAATTAACAAACTAGGGTTTAAGTTAATGAGCAACATACCAGACTTCCTCAATAAGTAAGTCTACAAAAAAACTCCTTAGAAGCTGTTGGACCCTTCCTACAACTTCAGAACCCGAGAATCTTCCCAAAATGTTGTGATATTTGTACAATGAAGCTGTTAAATTCCTAACCAACTAATCTCTTCACCATCTGCTTTATTCCACAAGGCGACAGAGACATCCAGAGTGATGACATGCCCAACTTAAAAACTGTGGAGAACTTTATTTATGAGAGCATGAGATACCAGCCCGTGGTGGACTTGATCATGAGGAAAGCGCTACAGGACGATGTCATTGACGGCTACCCCGTGAAAAAGGGCACCAACATCATCCTCAATATCGGGCGGATGCACAAACTCGAATTCTTCCCAAAGCCAAACGAGTTTTCTCTTGAAAATTTTGAGAAAAATGTAAGTTTTCTGCCTTGTTTCTTACAGAAATCTGGATGTTATTTATTGCTAATGTCTCTTCCTCTTACTTTGCTCAAGAACTTTGTGACCCTAAGACTGTTTTCCCTTTGTCTAAGTGCCTAGTTAGCTATACAACCTGCTGATTACTGTTGTTATTATTATTAGAGCTGGGCAGATATTTTCCTATCAAGCTGCCTCTTAAATAAAGAATAATTATAATATAGGAAACAGTTTTTTTCAGACATAATAGTTTTGATTAAAAATCTCTGATTAAATTTGTCAGACACACATGGTTGCCACTAGAGCCATGCCAGCAGCCCACACAGAGCTGAGGCTGCCTGAGGATTCTCTGGAGAGCTGAAGCAGTGCAGTAGCTTCTCAGAAACTGGGGATCTAATGCCCATGCTATTCTTTTTTTTTCTTTTTAAATTAACAATATTTTATAGATCATAATGAAAATTTTAACTAACACCGCAGATGTTGAGTAATTAAGTTCCTGTTCTGCACTGAATTTCAAATGAAGTTATGTTCTAACTACCAGGAGAACTACAATCAAAAGCAGTATGTGAATATTTTTTCTTCTTGTAATCCCCTACTGTTCGAATCATCCTTCAGATTATTTACTCAGACCTCTGCTCTGCTGATTACTGATGAAACAATTGGTTTTGTGAAACTGTATTTGTTCAGCAATAATAACCTGGAGAGATTAAAACTGAACTGATATGTTAGCAGCTGCACACATGAACACTGACAGCAGCAACTTCAGCTTTAAAGAAAGAAACAGACTACTTTAATAAACCAAAAAATGGATTTTAAATAACTACTTTAATAAACCAAAAATTTTACTCACCAGTAAAAACACCTGAAGCAACAGCTAAGGAAAAAAAAAAGAGAGATATGAGAGATATGTTCAAGCCAGAAAAAAACTTTAAGGTTTACCTATTTCTTATCAAAAAAGCTAAGAATACCAAATATGCCACACACAAAAAAATGAGCATTAATCCACCTAGTTAATATTTCTCAACTGCTATTGGATTACCCTGAGCAAATTCTGCACACAGCACTAAAAACAACAGCTCAAAAAAAAGTTTTTGTAGAAAATTCAAGAGAGTAAGTGATGAAGTTTATCAAAATTACTATTCTCTGTGAATAGACTCCATTTTGCCACCCAGTATTTACATTCCAAGTATTTCTCTCAAAACTGGATATCTTGCTTAATTTACGAGGACATTTTGCTACTAAAAATATTTCCCCTTGACCAAATATTTAACCACACATTTTCTATCTGACTTGATGCATTCTGTTTGCCACATAATTATTCTGGCAGGCACAATTTTCCTCCAGTTCTCTAAGTGAATAGCAATCCACAGCATTATTTATGATAAGATGCCATTGTTAGAATCTAAACATTTTTCCATTTTCTCAGGCTGTGCATTTGCCATTGTGCTGTACTGCCAGCTGCTGTACTTGCTCTGTGTTATAAACACTTGTGTTTATCTATAATTTTTCCAAAAGCACAGCTCAGTTTATTTAAAAAAAAAAAATAAAACAGAACATTTGTCAGTCTGAAAATAAGAAAAAGCAGTACACTTTTTTCCAGATGATTTGATATAAATAAATGCTTTCTACTCTATTCTTGTTCAATAGGAAATCAGAACATGGTTAATACCTGACTTTTTTAAAAAGAAGTTACACAGATGAAGAAAAATAATTTATTTATAACCAGACTTTCTTTTTAACTGATCTACTCAATGGCAATAAAAGTAGCAGAAACTAGCTGTTGATTCTTCAGTAGTCCTGGCAATCCTGCATTTCGTAGTTCAGCTGACAGGGACAATAATTTTATGTGTTATCTCTCCATCAAATATCCAAAATATTAACATTTAATTTTATGACAAATTAGTTCTCAAAGACTTTAGCTTTATAATTACAAATGGAATAGGTGTACGACTTAGTGATTATCTTTAGACAAGGCCTGTATTTCAGATAATTATAAGCTTTATAATGAACATTTTCTGAAGAACTTTTTAATGAACTTTAATGCATTTGAAGAGCAGAGGCTTCACTCCATTTCACAGCTTGCGGTGCAATCCCTGCAGTTCCCGGGACAAACAGACAAATACATGAATAGAATTCAATTGTTTAGCTCTGCAATTCCTGCTACCTCTGAATTTCCAAGGGCTGGTCCATGCCTCTGTCAGTGCCTGTAGCTGGGCCTGACTTGGGTGGAATTTCCAGCGTGAAATGAGGAATTGCTCCTAAAAGATTACTTCCACAAGTTTTTCAGAATATATCTACTACCAATTTCCATCATTATTTTCACTGCTCTTACAGAGAAAAACCTGTCTCTGAGTTTATTCCTCACATTGCTCCCCGCAGGTTCCTTCCCGCTATTTCCAGCCCTTTGGATTCGGCCCCCGGAGCTGTGTGGGAAAGTTCATTGCCATGGTCATGATGAAGGCAATCCTAGTGACTCTTCTGAGGCGCTGCAGAGTGCAGACAATGAAAGGAAGAGGCCTGAACAACATCCAGAAAAACAATGACTTATCCATGCATCCCATAGAAAGGCAGCCTCTGCTGGAGATGGTTTTTACACCCAGAAGAAATGCAAACCAGAATCAGGGTGATAGAATGGATCAGCACTAAAGTTACAGCATTTTCTCAACCACTCAGAAATATTCATCATTCCTAGTTAAATACAGAAAGAAAAACATTTTGTTGCCCCTAAATGACTTCAGGTGACACCTTGTTCTGCCTGTGCAGCAGAACCACAGGCCACAATTGGAAAGACCGAAAGTACAGAATAGTTTTGTTGTAGATGAAGCCATGCTACACGATTCCTGATTATTTTTTAAAAGCTTAGAGCTCAGACAAAGTCATGCCTTCCCTTTCAAACACTGCCAGTTCAGAGGTTTGAGGGTCAACAAACGAACATACCTGATGTGTGTTTAATTCCCTTTTCCCCCACCTCCCTGAAGCTGGACCCAGCAATATTTGACCACAGCAAAAGCTCCAATTATCTGTTTTCAAAACAGCTGAATAATATTAGCTCATTTCAAGACTAAGAAACAATTTAAAGTATTTAGGGCATCTATAAGTTGTAAAGAAATGTTGGAACAAGAAGTCATTCAAACATTTTTCTTTGCCATGTTTTGCTGTCCTGTTGAACACATACCAAAGATTTACAGTGTCACACAGATTTTACCAATAGCAGTAATTTGCAGAGTACTAGGTAATAATGGTAGTTGAGATAACAGTTCTATGTTTTTAAAACCCATCTCCTGCTGGATGGGATCTGTAAACATCTTCATAAAGGCCAGGTGAGAATGAGGTAATGAACTCCAAACATTACCACCAGCATTACAGGGGTGGGGTGACTTTCAGCCCCACCTCCTCACCTGACTGACTATGGAAATTTCCCACCTCTCCTCAGCTTCAGTAAAGGTCAAATTCCCTCTAAGCTGCCTAAGGTGTGCCAAATCCTTTTTTTAACCTGTTTTAGTTGCTCAATTCTACTTCAGAGAGTAAGATTTGGAGTTGCTGTGTTCCCACACCGCAGCAGGAGACAGTGTGCATCCCTAATGATCCAAATAATTCCTGGTGCTGCTTCTGTAAGAGCTCCGGGCTGTGTCCTGCTCTCCAGCATCTTGCTCCACGCCCACTGATGTAGAGAGGTTCTGAGCATATAAATGCTCTCACAAGAGGCAAATTTCACTGGGCAAGTGCCCAGAGCTTGGTGGTGACAAAGGAGGGAAGTTCTGAACTAACAAGCAGATTTCTAGAAAATGTTTTCCTAGGTGCATACACAGGTTTTTATTTTAACTATAAACCAGGCTGGGGTTTATACTTAATCCTTAACAGGAAAAAAAGTTCAACTACTCAACCTTTCTTTTCAGAATTGACCATTCTTGAAATTTATACAGTCTGGACATTGATATCTCTACTAGCCTAATGAGGAGTTGCCAGCTTGGTCAAGAAGAAAAAGATCTTCCTGGCTAAATGACAACATTCCTTGACAGAGACTTTCCATTTTCATTAAGCTTGAGTTTTCATACTGTGTAACACAAAGAAAGGGATTTGCCAGATAAAGTGCCTTGATAAAGACAACCAACCAACGTACAACAGGCTTTACATTAACCTTTTCCTTCCAAGACATTTAAACTATAATAGAAGGCAAAAAAAAAAAAAAAAAATTGTGTCTTTACTTTGAAAATATAATTAAAATTGATTAATTAATCTATTCCCTCAGACCAGTGATTGCAGGCACAAGTCCAGCAGGGAAAGATCTATCCAGTAGCACAGAAAAACTGCAGAGACCCAACAAACAATCATGTGCCCCACCCAAAGGTAATGAATTAGACTGGGAATGATGACAAAGAAGAGGAGCTGCATATTTAGGGTAATTCTCAAAGCAACATACAAATTTTCTGTAGTAATTTTAAAAAAAATCAAACTTGAAAGCCCTTATTGAAGAATTTATTGCAGCTAGGTTACTTTTAAAACTGTCTCCATAACCTTTGCATCATACCAAAAATTACAACAGCAAAGTGCAATCCTATACCACCTGTACATACAGAAAAAACTGGGCAGTTGAAGACCCAAATAAATAGGATTTAATGGTAAGACTCAATGGTCTTTTCCAAATAAAAAAGGTTCTATGTTTCTAGGATTTCTATTTTTTAGGTCACGAAGTGACACAGTGGTATGAATCTGTGGAATATCTAATGTAACCTCTGTTTCTACATTCTTTGTACCCTTTAAACTAGGAAATTGATAAAGCAGCTGGAAGATGAACAAACAAACACAGCCATGTTTAAAACCTTTTTACGCTTTCTGTACCATAAAACACTTCAGGGTGCTTCAGTGGGCATGTATTTCTTATTTGCAGAAGAACTCTGAGAATAAATCCACTGAAGGCTTTTTTTCTTGGGAATAAGCTACTATTTTATACACAGGATACATATCTTTGCTTACTTCACACACAAAACCAATTTTGTAGTGAGTATTTACTGTCTGATTTTCCCACTTAATAATTATAGGTCTCGTCCAAGTAAAATTTTTCACAAGCTTGAAATTAATAAATTGTCATTCAAATTTTGAAGTAATTTTATGAAATCAAATAGATAAAAAATGCATGCTGCTCTGATTTCTTAAATGTAATCTATATTGTTGAATTTGTAGGCTGGAACTTCAGAAAAATGATTACCATAATTATTCTATGGACAAAATAAAGCAGTATCATCTTTTACTTTTTGTCAGCAAGACAACAGAGTTATTTCCCATTGTGTGTGAAGTACATTCTTTCTGGTATGTTTTGAACATAGCATTTCTGGTCCTCTGGTTTCTACAGTATTTAGTTTGGTCCACATTTGGACAGCAGAGCTGTAATTAATCTGAGCTCTCAGCTCATCCGAGTCCTGTTCTCCCTGACTTTATTTTGGCTGTTCCTCAGTGGTCTGTTTGCATGAACATTTGCACTGCCAGGTCCACTTCCCCATCCCATAATCTCACGCGTGCTTGAGAGCTGCAGCTGGGGAAGCAGAGTTCCAGAACTTGCCATGGGGTGTGACCAGATTCAGCCTCTGACCGTGCAGAACAGAGCTCTGATTTTGAACAGTTTTACCAGCAGGGACTGCACAAATCGGAGTGGCTTCTTAAACCACATCGCGTCCGCAGTCATCAGGTGACTGCTCCATTAATGTTCAATGCACACAGCAAACTCCACTGTGTCTTACACTTCACTGTGATTATGGGCTGCTCACTGCACATGGATGTGGATGTTGTCAGCAAATAAAGTAAGCATCAAATAAAAGTTGTATGCAAAAGAGTTTAAAGTCATGTTTCATCATGTTTTCCCAATCTGAGAACCACAAGATTGCACTAAAATGCATGAGTGTGTCTGCATGCATGAACAGATCAATGTATTAGATACAAGGATGAATTCTACAATGTCCTAAAATCAAAATTCCCATTGATTTTAGAGACTATATTGTATTGCCAAGATATTTTTCATGACAGTAAGAAGGCATAATTAAAATAATTTAAATTGATACAAGACTACTTTCCTAGGAATTCACTTTATCAAAGCTTTAAAAGAAGGATGACGTAGGTTTTGGTCGTTCTTAAGATAGCAGATATTTTGAATATAACCAAAAAAATTGGCTTAATCATACAAATAAAGGACTCAGCTATCACTGAGAAGAGTATCTAAAGTAATAAAAAAATGAAACAAAAAATAATTAAACTGACTATAGAGTTGAAAGTAAAAAGTTTCATCTCATTTTCTACTCATAAAAAGACAGCACAACAAATTCAATTTGTATCCAATTTCTAATTTATTTCACTGTCAGATTTAAAGCTTTCAGAATGATAAACATCTGGCTGAGTGACAGGGAACTGGAAGGTAGTAAATGGCACACTAAAAAACAAAATTTAAAATATAAAAAACCTCTTTAACATAGCTGCAAATAGATTTTTCAGAGAGTGACCTGAGATGCTCTCAATGAAAATACTTATTCTAGAATTTTACAAGCCTTATTAGCAATCTTTAAACATTAATAAACAATTTTTTATTTTATAGCTTGTTCACTTTCTGTATTCTCCAATACAATCCAATGTTATAGCCTCAGTTAATACCCTATTAAATTCAATTCTAACCTCAAAAGAAAATTCCACTTGATAGTTTCCAGTGGAAAGGAATGCAGTACCATTTGATAGAGGAAAGTAGTTCAGAATTTAAGCCAAATAAATGATTTGTAGTTTAAATTTGTAATTGGAATTTGTCCTGACGTACAATTTTAAACAGGACTTAAGGGGTTAGGCTGTTAGGTGATGTTGTATTGAGTCCTACCTACTGTTATTGTGAGCCTTAAAATTTACTATATTGATTTATGAAAGTGCTGGGTTTGCATGCTGTGATAATTGTGCCTTTTTCAAATGCAGATCTTTAATTTCACAGCGTAGACAAGCAGTGGATTCCACACACGTATTCTCCTGTGGCACTCATTCCCCTCAGGTACAGCAGGGCATTCAAAAGGAGCCACAGTCAGTCACTCACAAAAGTCCTCAATGCATTAAAAAAGAACCACGGTCACTCATAAAAGCCCCAGTGCTGCCATAACCTGAGTGATGTTACACCAACACACACTGCCATAACCTGAGTGATGTTACACCAACACACACTGCCATAACCTGAGTGATGTTACACAAACACACACTGCCATAACCTGAGTGATGTTACACACACTGCCACAACCCGAGGAGATGCTGCGCCCTGCAGGTGTTTGCTGCCCCTCTCCGTGCAGGTAGCCTTGCTCAGGTGCCGGCACTGCCCAGGAGCTCCGGCAGGGCCCAGCAGATGGCGAATTTCTCCTGCCACAAGCACAGCTCAGCTCTGGCTAAGTCCCTGCTGATGGACCACGAGACTCCTGGGCTCACTCAGTTATTAAACACTGCTTGAGGAAGATGTGGAGTCATTCTGGAGTCATCCAAAGTGTGGAGACAGAGAGAAAACCAGCCCGGGGACAGAGTTTATTGGCAAGAAATCATCCCTCTTATTTAATATTCCATTTAGCACTGGCACAGAACACTTTCCAGTATCACCTTTTGCTGAAAGAATTCTCCCAGTCTAGTTGAATCTTTATGTATCATTTGGCATCAAGATCAGCAAAACCTAACTTGGTAGGGCTC